CCAGGACTTTGGCTCAGCCTGGGTTTCTGGAGTACTGGCTTGTAAAAGGAGGAAAAGAATAAATTAATTATTTCTTGCCAAGAGGCTAATTTGTTTCTGCCTTGAGGTAAAGTCAAGGAGACAAAACCAGCGGTACACACTGAATGTTTGTGTCCCCTCCAAATTCTTATGTTGAAACTTAATCCCCAATGTGAAAGTATTAGGAGGCAGGGCCTTTGGGAGGTGATTAGGTTGTGAGGGCGGAGCCTCATGAATGGATTAGTGCTTTCTCTCTTCCCTCATGTGAAGTCACAGTGAAAAGTCAGCAGTCTGCAACCTGGTAGTGGGCCCTTACCAGACGCCAAATCAGCCAGAGCCTTGATCTTGGATTTCCCAGCCCAGAACTGTGAGGAAGATATGCTTGCTGTATGAACTACCCAGTCTATGGTATTTTGTTACAGCAGCCTGAAAGGACCAAGACAATGAAATTAAGATATCTTATCAGGGATTAGTCATGTGTCACTTAACAAGATATGTTCTGAGAGATGCATCCTTAAGCAATTTCATCGTTGTGCGAATATCAGTGCACTTACACAAACCTAGATGTGCAGCCTACTACGCACCTAGGCTATACGGTACTAATGTTATGGGACCAGTGTTGTATTTGCCATCCGTCATTGACCGAAACGTTGTTGTGTGGTGAATGACCCTATGTGTATGTGCCTATCTATGAGTTGCTTGTACCATGCCAGGTATAAGAGTAACTTTCAATGAATAAGAGCTGAATGAGCGGACACCATTTATGTAAAAGAATTAACAGTGGGGAACACATGACCTAAAGTTAGAAACTTGGGTTTGTACCTTATCTCGGCCACTTTATCTGTTGTATGACCTTGGGTGACTCATTTTTAGTACTTAGAGCCAGTTTCTCATCAGTAACATGGGGTTATTTATCCTTCTACCTGTGTGCGTGTGTATCCGCATAGAAAGATGTTAGGAATGATTTCCATCAAATGTTACTATGGTCATTTTGGGGATTTGGAAATTCGGTGGCTCTCCCTTTCTTCTTTGTATTTTTCAATATCTGATTTTTTTTTTTGAGGAATATTAGCCCTGAGCTAACATCTGCTGCCAATCCTCCTCTTTCTGCTGAGGAAGACTGGCCCTGAGCTAATATCCATGCCCATCTTCCTCTACTTTATATGTGGGACGCCTACCACAGCATGGCTTGCGAAGTGGTGCCACATCCGCACCCGGCATCTGAACCGGCGAACCCTGGGCCACTGAAGTGGAACGTGAGCACTTAACTGCTGCACCACTGGGCTGGCCCCTGACTTTTTAAAAGTAAAAATGTAAATCATACCTAAAATACTGTCAATATAAAATTGTAATCATATAACAAAACAATGAAATCTTTGATACTTCTGAGTCTGAAATGGGAAGAACACAAAAATTCCCAGAACCAAACCAAGGATCTTCTTTCAGTTTCTTCCTTCCTAATTCGTGCCTATTTACTAGGTCTTTGTATTCAGCCTTTCAAGTAGAGAGCAGACTACCTTTTCCTCCACTAAGAAGTCTTGGAGGAATCCTTATGAGGTAACATGATGACTACTGTTCTAAGAAAGTAGTGAAAGAAATAATACCTCGGCTTACCTGGAAAAGCAGCAAATCTTTTAAAATCTAGTATTTCAAGGGAAAAAAACAGAAACAGAAAAACCACAAAGCCAGAAAGAAAACATTAATATTGAAAAATGTAAAACCAGTTTCAACTATCCATTTAACAAATGAAGTGCCACATGTTTTATTAGTATTTACATGGCAACATAGATATTTTAAACTGAGAAACAAAAGAGGGGCCGCCCTGCGGCCGAATGGTTAAGTTTGTGTGCTCTGCTTCGGCAGCCCAGGGTTTTGCTGTTAGGATCCTGGGCGTGGACAGGGCACCACTCATCAGGCCATGCTGATGCGGCGTCCCACATCACACAACCAGAGGCACTCACAACGAGAATATACAACTATGTACTGGGTGGCTTTGGGGAGGAGAAGAAGGAGAAAAAAAAAGACTGGCAATAGATGTTAGCTCAGGTGCCAATCTTTATAAAAAAAAGGAAATGAGAAGTCAGCAGCTTTTTTAGGGAATTTGTGACAATTTTCTCTGATTCACAGGTCCCAGAGGTCAGATGGGTTCCAAATTGCGTGGCACTTTATTCCTTCAATCATTTATATTTCCATTCGTAGCCCTGAGGCAATCAATAAACAGTACAACTTGGGAGAATTTCAAAATACTATTTTTCAGCCACAGTGAAATTCTCCCAACTGAAAACAGAATTTGATAGGTTTAAATATTTTACAAATGCTTCAAATGAGATTAGGAAGCTAACCAGCAGACATTTATTATACTTATGTGCACATTTTCCTTTAAATATTTGAGATTCTATCTACAGTCCCTCTGTTATACTCATTCAGATTATTCTTATATTCTAAAACAATGAAGCGTCTAAACTGGGGGAATGTTGCCAGGGAATTTCAACAGAGTTTGAAGGCAACATAACCAAAAGGCATAGTTTAAATTGGCTTAGGGAATGAATGGGCTCCTTATCAGAGCAGCTGAAGGCTGTATATAATTAACAGCATCTGTCAACATTTACAAGGCCCCACACAGAACAGGCAGGCCCTACAGAACAGCAACCTCCAGCTTCTGGCACCTGAAAATCCATAAGACCTAAACAAAAAGATAGCCCCAAGCTATCAACAGCCGGTCACTGACACATTTTAGTGATACGAGCAGGACCATAGAGCCACTGCTAATTAATGTTAATTATCTAGAACAATTCTGTTACCATTAGCATCAAGACTTCAAATTAGCCAGCTATCATCAAAAATATAAAATGCTGTTTATGGAGATCAGTTTATATTTGTAATTACTGATTTTAAAAGTCTTTCTCCTGTTATTTTTAAAGGGTATGAAAATGAGCCAGTAACTTCCCTTTTTATATGATGAATTCTCAGTTTAATTCACTTTGAATATTTCTGTATCATGAGTATTAAATTCACCATATGGCAAGTTTTAGTTTTTGTATATATTAATACATTTCACTCAGGAACACGTACAAAACAAAACAATCCAGAGGAAGTTTCATTAAATAAATTTATTTGTTAAAATAATTTAACTCCAAATACAACTGCTGAATTTGCCTTGAGTTATAACTACAATTCATGTTTTAATTGAAATGTCAAAGTTTAACAACTGACATTGTTACAAAACAATAAACTGTTGTTCAATTTTAAATGGTCAGTTGTATTAGAGCTCAACAATTAACTGTGAACTATATCTCTGGGAAACCCCAAATCAATAATGATCAGTCTGTTTCCAAAACCCACTGCAGTCATTCTTGAAACCCTGATCAAGATTTAACAGATGCACAATGACACGTTAATTAAAAACAAAAAAGACCCCCATAGTCTTGAACATCTGATTGGCTAAGGAGACAATTAAAGCTCACCCAGTGCTAACACAAGACCACTGAGAAGAACAAAAACTCAAAAAGACAAAAAACAAACAGCAACAAACAAAATAAGCACTTTGGGATTCATACATACACAGACAGCATGCTCACTGGAAAAGGCCTGAAAACAAACAGCAGACATCCTTAGGCAACATTTCCTTATACAGAAGAGCAAATATCAGTAGTTTTACCACAGAAAAGTGATGGTAACTGTAGCAGTTAGAGTCAGAAGTTCAGTCCTAATTCTACAAACCAAAGGAGAAAATCATCAAAGCACCTTTCGATAGTTTAAGAAAGATTTCATGTAATACTTTTGATCAGATGCTGGCTTGTTTTGTGTAAGTTGAATAAAATGAGAGGCATCAGTTACCATCACTATCACAGCTTAAAAGAACCAAAAAAAAAGTTGCAACATAAAAGAAAAAAATTTTTTTAAATGCTGTGCCTTTGTATAAAAGTAAAACAAGACAAAACAAAAATAAACGAAAATCTTATCACAAATAGCTAAAGAAAAAGTGGGTCTTTGGATCAAACCATAACATTTTTAAGGCATGTTAGAAAAACTCTCACTTATCTAGTTGCTAGTCTGATCAGGGCATAAAATAAATAGCGACACAAGGTCACCAACTTTTCTCTGTAGCCACTATTATTTCATGTGCCAACAAATCTAATCTTTCTGTTCTTAAGCTTTTTATTAACATCTCAACAAACACATTCATTCAAGCTGCATTATATTCATACCAGATGAACTACCAACAGTAACACCACACGAGGGTTTCCACATTTCTGGGTATCTTTGATGCTTTGTCACTAAATACATACGGCTGTGTGGAAACACAGATCAAGCAGCCAAATCAGTTATTATTAACATCTTTACAGTAAAAGCCCACCTTATTGTGTGACACAAACATTTTTAACTAAACTCCAAATTTTTAGATACTCTTTTCCAACTTACATTTTGCCATACCTTTCATATTATGTAACTTATTTTTCTTGTCTGCATAGCAATCCATAACGTAAAACTGTAGAATCTTTACAGATGTTTTAATATGTAATCTTAGTTGTCAAAAATTGCTATTAAATATGGAATTCTTAAAAAAATTCTGAGAAGTTAGAAGCTTCAAAACTCAACCAATTCACTAACAAATATTTCTGTTTCAGTAGATAAATTGTATTTCTTGAATCTTTGATATCTCTACATGTTTGAGTCAAATCAACTTTTATATGATGAAATTTGTTTCAATAAAATTGATTAGAACTTTTTGTCTTAAAACAAGGTGCTTCATAATTAGGGGCTATAAAAATAACTATATTGAAGAATGCAAATATTGACAATTCAAAGACTTTTGACAACCACGGCCTGGTTTTACCCACATATATCTGTTTTTCTCATTGACAAAAAGCACTATCCACCTTTTTTCTATCCTGTAAGCTTAATGACAGTTTACCGAACACTTGGCGGGGGGGGGGGGGGGGGGGGGGGGGGGGGGGGGGGGGGGGGGGGGGGGGGCTACCAATTATTTCAATAATGTATAAAAAACCACAAATAATTTAAAAGAAAAAATGTTTTTGATACACTATATTCTGCAGTATAGATTCCCAGTATAGGCAGTTATCTCCAACTTGTGCCCAATTCTTAGGAACAATAAACACACATGCACACACAAACATACACTCTTCTCTCAGTCACACACATAAGACCAGAGGTTACTTGCACAAGAATGTGAAACCAACGAAATGTGGGGTGGTATTTGGATCACAGGCTCAGTGATATTGCAGTTCTAAAGGCCAAATTTATCTCCAGAGGATCAGCTCAAGATACTCTCTTCAGCATTTATAACTGAAGTTAGCTGAAAACCCTTCTACTCTTGATTGTAAAACTTATGAATAGGTTTTTTTCTGTGCCATTAGTCATGCAAATGATAAATACTTCACGGCTATGAAAACCAAAAATGTCAGAGCTTGAGCACCTTTTCAAAACAAAATATTCACTCTATCTTTATGTGCCACTTCAGTAATCAGGGCAAAATTGTTATAAGAAAATCTTTATATAATTCTCCAGGAAAATTAAAGATAAAGGTTTTTTTTTGTCCCTTACCTTCCACTCTATAATTTATCTTCTACTTTTAAGCCCAAATTACTTCACATGGTTACTCAATTTTTTAAATGCCTGCAATAAAGCTCTGCTCCAGCAAACTTGATTTTGAAAGCGGGTTAGCCAAGAAACACACCACAACCATAGCCCTTAAAGGCAGGAAGGAATCTGCTGCTTTCACGAACTAAAAATGCCAGCTATTTGTACTGTCCTGTGAGGTGCTGCAAATGGGAACATGTGGATGCAACATGGCTTCATTTTCCTGACATGATGGCACTAACTAATCTACTAGAACGCTTCTTGTTAGTAAGGCTAGGCAATCGCTTTCCATCACAGCTGCTTCCTCTTGTTCAATAAAGGAATAAAGACCATCCTGCTTGGTTAACAGAGAGTGGGTTCGGGGTTTTAATTGGTATTAAACCCTTGTGAGAGCCTCCATTTTCTGTGGCAAAGCAGGTGATTTAACACATTCTAAAGCCAGATTGTATTTTTACACAATCTGTTCTGATTTTTGCTCTATCAAGGATTGATGCATGAGTTAGTTCCATGTCACAAATTAGGATAACATCTACAATTAAGCATCAATTTTGAAAAACAGAAATATGTCAGCTGAGCGAAGAATCTCTCCCTGTAATGCTGTTGGCAGGTTAGCTGTTATTACTTACTTGACGGAATACATTGGTTAGAAGCATTATCTCAATTCCTGAAATTCAGTACTCTCGTAGGAAAATATTTCTCCTTATTCTTTTTTTAAGAAGACAAAATATTTAATTGCAAGCGGTCATAGGAATTCTTCTGTTTTCTCTCTCATGATTATTCTTAATTTATACAATAGTTGCTTCTGTCAACTCAGCAACAGTGCCATCATAACTTTCAAAGGAGATCACCCTGTAGATCGACTGGCTATGCCTTAAAGTTGCAGGTGCCTATAGAAGACTGAGGACAATGGTGAAAACTGTAGTTATGGAACCCAAATGCTACTCAGAGAGATCAACTGACAATCACCGCTCAATTCTGAATAAGGGCTGCTATTTCACTGTAGAGTCACACCACACAGCCTGCAAACTCCACAGTCGAGTAGACGAGGCTTGTTATCGCCTACAAGCTTGGGCAAATCCTGTCCAGGAGAGCCATATTTGAACGCTATTGTATGTTACATGCAGAGCAGCATGGGTCATCTTTGTCAGGCTGCGCAGCATAGTTCATTTGCCTCACAATTTCTGCAAAGAGTTCGTCCACCATCGTTTTACTCTTAGCAGAAGTCTCCATAAAGGGGCAGCCCCACTCTTCAGCAAGGGCTCTGCCTTCATTGGATGATACTTCTCTCTCACTTTCCAGGTCCACTTTGTTCCCAACCAGGATGACTGGCACTTTCTCATACCTATGAGAGAATAAGCAAAACACATACATATTGTAGAAGTTAGCAGAAAGTTAAACAGGTAAAATGTATTTTCTCTTTTTTCACTATATTCTACTACAAATATTCTCTTCAGTTGCATGAAAAATTATTTGCTCCACTCGGTCTGACACCTACCTGAGGGCATTCAGAAGCTGTTCTCATAGTGGATCATAAACAGGTTTTTCAAAATGATGTTTTTAATTAATCAATTATACATCCTTTAAAACCAACTTACCTTTCCAGACATATTTGGAAAATTATTCTCAGAATCTCAGAATAAATCTTCGTAGATGGATTAACAAACTTTTTTCATTATGAGAGATGCTGACTCAGAATTTCCCAGTTGATGAGGTAACAGCTCTACTGAGTAAACCACTTATAATTGTCAGCATTTTACTATGCTCTTTAAGTGTACAAAACTGAGAATGTTCTAATAGTTCCTAAATAACAAAAAAGCTAGCAGAATTTAGAAAACCTTTATAAAACTGTTAGATTAGCTAGTTGAAAGACAATTATGGCTCTTTTCAGCCTGTCAGGGATTAAATATTTCAATCATTAACTTCATCTGGTGTTGTCTCTTCTTTTCCTTCCTACCTAGAATAGGTGTGCTATAGATTCAATGTTTGTGTCCCCCTAAAATCTGTATGTTGAAACCTAATCCCCAGTGTGACGGTATTTAGGAGGCCAAGCTTTGGGAGGTGATTAGGTCATGAATGGGAGTAGTGGCTTACAAAAGAGACCCAGAGAGCTCCCCTGCCCCACTGCCACGTGAGGACACAACACCAAGATGACCGACTATGAGGCAGGGGAGCAGGCCCTCACCAGACACAGAATATGCCAGAGCCTTCATCTTGGACTTCCCAGCCTCCAATACTGTGAGAAATAAGTTTCTGTTGTTTAAGCCATGTAGTCTACGGTATTTTTGTTACAGCTGCCAGAACAGACTAAGAGAAGGTGTCTCTGAGTAAACATGCTTGGTAAGAGCTACACTTATAAAGATAACAAATGATATGCAAAGAACAAAAAAAGGATCCTAAATCATTTTGGTACTTAAAGATGATTCTCTCTACAATGGTTACTCGTGGTGTAAAAATACATGGTGCTCCTCTGCATATTTACTATTCTTGTTTATGTTGTCCTAAGAAATGGTGCTAATATATTTTCATAAGGCTATTTTTATTTAAAACATCATTTTAAAAGCTTTTCGTGATTTTAGCACAAATTAATGTGTGTGTGTGTGTTTGTACTTTCCCCTAAGCAGAATGCACATCTAATTTATAAAGTAAACTACAAAACTGCACATATGTGATAACATGTGACTGGACATTTGTTAGAAGAGAAAACTAACAGAGTCAAGACTTTACTGAGGCAGGATTTGGATAGAATTTTTATCATTCAGGAAACAGAAGGATAGGCAGGCAGGTGGCGAGAGAGACGATACTTCCACAGTTTCATCATCCTGTCACGAAGGTTCTCTCCACTCACTCTAACTTGTAAAGCAAACTAGATTCCCTACAGGGTCTCACTTTTTTCTTTGGCACTAGATCCAAAGGTCTCACAAGAGGGTATACTCCAGGCTGTGTGCCATTGAGCAATCTGAAACATAAAAACAATTTAAAAATGTGTAGGGATAACAACATCAAAGGTAAATCTAGAATTCAGATTTTATCATTTTGCAGGAAATGGATCTGGACAACTCCAACTTACAACAAAGGACTTCATATGAATTTACTGTCTAGCAACGGTGTCTTATGCTTTCTGGCCTCAGATCATACTGAGAGCTCTGAATATATGACACAAGGGGTTTTCACATCCTCTAGGACTCTTACACACAAACAATGATGTGTACCCCCTGGCCTACAGGAGGACAAATGGCAGTGAGAATGAAGCTGCATTACAAACACCACCTATCAGCTGCTTCGCATACAAGCCCTCTTGACCTGCTGTAGGCAGATGCGTGGCAGGGAGCTAATGTGCAGTCCTGTCAGGACGTCAGTTCCTAAGCTGTTTTACTTATAAAGATGTACTTGCATTTCATTTTTCTTAAGAGAGTATATACATCACAGTGTGTTTTAAAAATGCTTTGTTTGGCAGCGAAGTAACATAAACATTAATACGATTCAGTAAAATTTATTGAATTTAATTAAGTTAAAAATTACTTTCAATCTCTGTTTATAATACTCAATAATAAAGAGTAAAGTGGTAAGACATCACCTTCTATTATTAGGCAAGTGATAAATATTTTAAAGAATATTTTTTAGTTTAAATATAGTATTTTATCATGTTTTCTACATAAAGAAATATCTCCCACACTTTTAATTAAAAACTACAAATATATGGATTTTTATTTTTTTAAAGATTGGCACCCGAGCTAAAATCTGTTGCCAATATTCTTTTTTTTTCTTCTGCTTCTCCGGAAAGCCCCCCAGTACATAGTTGTATATTCTAGTTGTAGGTCCTTCTGGTTCTATGTGGGACGCTGCCTCAGCATGGCCTGATGAGTGGTGCTAGGTCTGCGCCCAGGATCCAAACTGGGGAAGCCCTGGGCCGCCAAAGCAGAGTGCAAGAACTTAATTACTGGGCCACAGGGCCGGCCCCTGGATTTTTAAAACTTGCAAAAATACCAAATCATTAACAGTTGTATGATAGAACCAAGAATCTGAATAAGTCTTGCCAACAGAATCTCAAAAGGGCAACGAGAACATTGCAAACACAGGTCCACATGTAAAACTGTTAAATGAAGATCACAATTTAGTCACTATCAGAGAATCTATTCATTATATCACTAACTGCATTGTCAGTGGTCTCGTATTTTTTTTTTTTGAGGAAGATTAGCCCTGAGCTAACATCCATCGCCAATCCTCCTCTTTTTGCTGAGGAAAAGTGCCCTGAGCTAACACCCGTGCCCATCTTCCTCTACTTTATATGTGGGGTGCCTGCCACAGCGTGGCTTGACAAGTGGTGTGAAGGTCTGTGCCTGGGATTTGAACTGGCGAACCCCAGGGAGCAGAGCTAGTGCACTTAACTGCTGCGCCACCAGGCCGGCCCCAGTGGTCCTTCCTAAAACCAAGATGCTAAAGACACTAGAGAAATCTAGATTAATATCCTCATAAGACTTTAAAAGACTGAATAAGATCTTCGGGAAAGAAAAGGTATTCTGTACATTTCAGAATACCAGATGGCAATAAATTTTCTCTTTCTGTTAACCTTCAACTATGAGACAGTAAGAAAAGATTCTAAACTAGGATTTGGAGGCTCAGCTTCCACTCCTGCCAACGAGAGGCTACAAGACTGAGCAAATCATTTACTCTACTCATTTGTATTTCATTTACTTGTCAGTAAAAAAGGAACAAGAGTATCTGTTCCCACTTAACACACAAGGCTGCTGTAAAGGTCAAACGAGAGGATGAAGAAAAGACCAAGTAGAGATAAATGCAGGGTGGTGTTTCTTTCCCCTCCTGCTGGCTGATATGAGACCACAGCTTCAGTAGGTGTCAAGAAGCAGGAGAAATGGATCGAGGGAGGTGAGGAGCTCCTGAAGAGGGATGACCCAAGCCAGGGTGCTGTGGGGTGGGGTAGAGACAGCAAAAGAGAGACAGACAGAGCCAAAAGGAATAATGCAGCCACCCGACATCAGCCTATCCCTTCTTTTTCTTTTTATGTTCCCTGAGAGTGATTTTCTTTCTTTCTTTTTTTTTTTTTTTCCTGCTTTATCTCCCCAAACCCTTCCTGAACACAGTTGTATATCTTAGTTGCAGGTCCTTCTAGTTGTGGGATGTGGGACGCCGCCTCAACGTGGCCTGACGAGTGGTGCCATGTCGCACCCAGGATCCGAACCCTGGGCCAGCGCAGTGGAGCACGCGAACTTAACCACTCGGCCATGGAGCTGGCCCAGCCTATCCCTTCTCTAGTCCCCCGTGCTGAGCACCACGGTATGAGGAACAAGAAAGGCGGAAAAGCCTGCTCCAAATATGGAGACCCACGGGGAAGGGAATCTGAGGAGGCTGTGGGCTGAGATGACAGGAATACGTCCTATACGTGAAGGTAAGATTTGGAGAAACTTGGATCCTCCCTAAGGAAGATGGGTGAGAAGGAAAAGAAAACGCAGCAAAGCGTCGTGCTGACAGCATAGAGGAGGGTGTGAGGAAACTGGTCTTGCTCTTTGTTGTAGCAATATGGTGGATTAAAAAACAAACAGGCAAAAAACCCAGACCAGGACTCCAGTCCCAAAACTGCCGCTAGCGAGTTCTGTGAATTCAGAAAATTAATCTCTTGGCTCCTCAGTTTCTTGAACTAGAAAATGAGTGGGGCTGGATAACTTCTATGGTGCTCTTAAGCTCTGAACTTAAACATCAGAAGAGACATAGGGGGTCACTCCCAGAAGCAACACATACCATTTACCAAGTAATTGCTGAGAGCTTAGCACTGTTCTAAGAACAATACCCAACAGGCCGATACTTACAAGGGACAGGAAAGCATACACCAGGAGTAAGGCCAAAACGCAGGGGGAAACCTCATCAGATCTCGCGGGGCCACAACACCCACCAGCAGAGATTTTCAGCTCTACAAGAAGGGCATATACTGCCAGCGTGCTGACTCACAGGCAGAAGGCAAAGACGTTCTGAGGACCTAGGCACTTCCACTCCACTGACAATACTGCTCCAACACAAACGTGGGATGGTTTTTTTTTTGAAGATTGGCATCTGAGCCAACAACAGTTGCCAATCTTCCTTTTTTTTGTTTTCTGCTTTCTCTCCTCCCCCACCCCCAATACATAGTTGTATATCTTAGTTGCAGGTCCTTCTAGTTGTGGCATGTGGGACGCCGCCCCAACATGGCCTGATGAGCCATGTCCACGCCCAGGATCCGAACCAGCGAAACCCTGGGCCTCCGCAGTGGAGCCCATGAACTTAACCACTCGGCCACGGGGCCGGCCCCTGGGATGGTTTTAATACACGAGTACTGAAGGCTCTATTGAAAAC